CGAAAAAACATAAAGTTTTTCATTAAAAATATTCTTAAGACAATTATGAACAATAATCATTAAAGAATTTTCTTAAAAATTCAAGAATTTGAAAAACCTTAATTTTTAAAACTCAATAAAAATTGAGGAATGCTTTTTGCTGATGATATTCTTCTTGTTGATAAGACTAGAGAGGGAGTTGAAAGTAAGCTTGAATTATGGAGGTCAACTTTAGAGTCTAAAGATTTTCGCTTGAGTAGATCTAAAAGTGAATATATGTAGTGTAATTTTAGTAGCAATAGACCTAGTGATGAGATTGTTTGGGCTATCAAGTCATTAATAAGAGTACACATTTTAGATATATTGGATCTATTGTTCAGAGTGATGATGAAATTGATGGGGATATTATCAGCAGAATTCAAGTTGGATGATTGAAGTGGAGGAATGCATCGGACTTATTGTGCGATAGAAAAGTCCCTCTCAAACTTAAGGGAAAATTCTATAAGATGGTGGTGAGACCTGCAATGCTTTATGGAGCCGAATGTTGGCCTTTAAAAGAGAAGCATAATACTAAGTTAAGTGTTGCAGAGATGAGGATGCTTAGGTGGATGAGTTGCTTGACCCTTAGAGATAGGATACGAAATGAGCATATACGTGAAAAGGTTGGAGTAGCTCCAGTGGAAGATAAGATTAGAGAGAGTCGCCTTAGATGGTTTGGTCACATTAAACGGAGGCCTTCCGATGACCCAGTTAGAAAAGTTGAGGCATTAGATTTGACTTATGTTAAGAAAGGTAGAGGTAGATCTAAAAAGACTTGATTAGAAAATATTAGAAATGATCTTTCGTTATTAGATTTAAATGAGAATTTAACTTTTAACCGCACACAGTGACGAAAAATGATTCATGTAGCCGACCTCACGTAGTGGGACAAAGGCTTGATGTTGTTGTTGTTGTTGTAATAAAAATATAAGAAAAATTTTATTTTTATGACTAAAATCCTTCCTTATACATTCCCTATTAATCTCATTGAAAAATTATAGGTTTTGAAAAACTCTAGAATTTTCTCCTTAAGAAATCTATGTGAAAATGGAGAAATTTCGTAATTAAAAACATACCTTAGTCTTCCCTTAATCTCCCTCTATAATTTCCCCCAAATTTGGCCGCCGGAAATTGCCGCCATCGCTGCCCTAGAAGCCTTTCCATCGTCCTTATCCGTCTCTCCTTGTTTGGCCGAGAGAAGTGGGAGGCGAAATGAGAAGAGACTGATTCATTCGGCCTCTTACGCTTAGGGGTTTCTAAAAGACCAAATTACCCTCTCTTGAATAATTTCTCTTAAGACCATGAGGGGCTATTAAGTAAATTTTAGTTTATAAAACTTCGGTGATTTTTATCTCCCAAACCGTGCAAAAATTTTAATAAGTTCTTTATATCGAATTGATCGAAATTAAATTTACAATTTTATAAAATTTATTTTGTCGAAATCCGACAACTTCAAAAATTTGATCCTTTTTGTCGCGGTGCATCGCAATGCGTCGTTACATTGCGATTCAATGTTTCGGGTTTTACAAAAAGGATTCATGTAGCCGACCCCACATAGTGGGATAAAGGCTTGATGTTGTTGTTGTACACTCCATGCGTCCTCTTAATCCCATCCTACAAGAGCATGTATATATATATATATATATATATATGAAGCTGAGCTATCTGCAAACTAATATCAACTATCATGCTATCTCATAAGCTTATGGCTGGTAATGACTGTTTAATTTTTTTGCAATTAGCTATCTGCTAAAGTAATCTTTTTTTGTTTAAAATATTTTTAATTGGTTTTCATTTAAAAATTTATGGAAAATGATAGATTAGTTATGCTAACTTGGGTCAACTTGGGAAACTCTTGTATTTTTTGTATAATATTATAATTTTGAGCAAAAAAAAAAGATTAAAATGTTAGATTTATTAAGAAGAATTTGATTAAGTTATGCTATACTTCTTAATAATAAATAGGATTTTCTTGAGTCAGTGCATTGCACATGCCATTTAAAAAAAAAAAAAAATCAGGAATATTCAAAATTTTAAGAGAAAAATAGCTTAAATAATAGAATGCCATGTAGAACAAAACATTATCTAACTTTGACATGCATGAAGCTATCATATCTAATACTGCAATTAGATAGACAAATGAAGCATCATTGCTAATAAGGCAATTAGATTGATAAATGAAACTATCATGGTAGCAGCAATACATAATATTAGACAAAATGCAAAATATTAAAGCTTGGATTAAGGATATTAGAATAAGGCTAGGCTTATTGATGCAAACCTCAAAGATTATTCTCATTAAAATCGCAGGACATGTGTAACATGTGTGGCATGTGCACCGAGACAAGCATAATGATAGTCAGAGCATTAATTTTATTAGTTTGTTAGTTGTTTTATGTGATTCTTTTAGTTTAGTGTTTTTTTCATAAACATGCTTGTGATGATCCTTGTATCGAACATGTCGTGTTCTTTTCCTTGGTTCAGTTATTTGATTGGTCCAACAATTAATTTATGTGGATTGCGACCAATGCTTATAAACTGAAAATTTTGGGAAGTTTTGTATTGTTTAATCTTTGATTTAAATTTATTTTAGGAGCTGACTATCAATAAATTGAATTTTTCTTTCTTATTAAACTCCTTGGAATTTCATATCCAATGCTTTACGAAGCTCTCTACACATATTGTTTCAAAGTCAATATAAGATGATTAGATTATGTTTACTATTAATTGTAGATAACAAACGTAACTTGTGCATTGGCGTGACAAAACTAAATATAATGATTTGTGGTTGAATACATATGAAGGACAACAACTATGCCGAAATTGATTGATGAATGTTTCATGGTTAATTCAAAGTCTTTTCAAGTCAAGCAGATTTGATGTAAGTTGTAAAGTTTATATTTTTAAAAAATATGTCATATTGTGTCTAGAAGAGTGGATTAATAGTTTGAATATTAATTTCATTAGTTTATTTATTATTTATGCTATTTTATTAGTTTAGTGTTTTTTTGGGTAAACATGCCTATTATATCCTCATATACAAAAACTTGTGCTCTTTTTCTCAGTGTGGTTCTATGGATTGCTTTTTAGGCTTTAATTAGGCTATTTAATAATTTGCTATGATTTGCCTTGGGGCCTTTTAAATGGGCTTTTGCTATTGTGGCCTTCAGTTGGAAGCTTTATGTACTAATTTTTTTGTTAATGTTATTTGATAGGGTAATGATTACATGGTCTTGCTCAATGCATGGGACTATTGTTGTGATACCTGTTGCATTAGATTTTGCATTTGCATGCGATTCTCTCCCATCAATGTGTGATTCCAATAGGTTTTGTTGGTCTGCAATCTTGTGCAAGGCTTTCGCATCTTTATATCATCCCACGAGCATTTGGTTCAAGGTGGTTAGCTTGATTCGTTTTTAAGGGGAATTTTTTACTATAAAAAAGGGTTATTTGAAGCATGCAAAAATAATATCAATGATAATTTGCTTTCTCTTTATGCTAAGTCCTAGTTCCTCTTTGTGCATGAGTGCCAGTTGGATTGAAGTTTTCCAACTAGTGCAATTAATGACAACCAACTTTTGGCGAAAGGCATCTTGTTGTATTGACGTGTGATTTCTTTTCTTGATATTATTTTTCTTTAAATTTTTAGTTATCGGTCTGTCTATGTGATTGAAGTTGGTTAAAACTCATACTATCTAAATTTCTTAATTTTGATATGATTTTCAATTGTTATATAACCATCTTTGAACTTGAAGTTCTATGTTAAATTTTATTAAATGCCATTAAATTATCAATTGCATGATTTTGCATGTTTTCTATTTTTGTATTAGAAGAGATGAATATTTAATTAAATTGATAATATGTGAATTGTAAATTTTAAGTTCATCTGTGTAATTTTGATGCATTACATTATATAGCTGCATTAAGAAATCCGACCCTATGAACTACATTACTTACTAAAAAAATGTGGCAGTTTTTTTCAAATCTCATATTCAAATTTAAAAACTAAACTACACATCCTCAAAATATAGCATCATAAATTAAAATGGCCTCATTTTCTCTCTTTATAAGCTTCTACATAAAAATCATTTTCATTGCCACCTTTGTCAACCAAAATATTCTTATCCTCATCACATGTCCAAAATTGAGCAAAATAGAGTGCAATATTTTGATCATCCGCATCTTGCATTAGTGATAGTGCAAGGTGCACTTTGTTGCACTATGAGCTATTCTTCTTGGTATTTTATGTTCAGGTGACAAATAAAAACTTCATTATTAATCAACCCATTAAACTCTAATTTATGCTAGTTTACCATTCTTATATATTGACATCAATCAAATGGCTTTAACTTAGGCGGTATGGTCCTTAGTTTTGAAGACAAAGGTCTCGCGGTTGAGACAAAATGGACTCAACATGTAGGAATTCTCTTGTACCTCAAGCGAGCGTAAATTTGTAATTGATATTGTGGCTACCTTATGTTAAATTAAATATTTGGGATCGATTTCCATCTTTAATATATATATATATTGTTGAATGATCGAGAGATCTACAAGCCAAACAATCTTGATAGGGGTCATTGAGCATATGAATTAAAACTTTTAGTTGTTGGCTATATCCTCACCCTTAGATTGGAAGATAGAATAAAAAAGTTAACAAACAATGAGGAGCATTTCTTCAGCTCTCATTAAAAAAAAAAACTAACAGAAAGAGAAAATTGCTTTTTAAATATGATATCTATGCATTAGGTTTTGCGTATTTACTTTGATATGACTGTTGAGGAGACTCCTATATAAAGACATGCATAATGAATACAAAAGGAAACAAATAATGGTGGCATATATTTTCCTAATATAATTCTTCTTGACAAAGCTTTCCTTAATATATATCATACGCCAACAAACAGCTTTTTCATATCTTTATTATTTAAGTAGGAGAAGCATGTACTTCTATTACTTTAATTCTGGGACAAAATCCACTGTAGTGAATGGTGGATCACCTTCCATCGTTTATTTCACTTGGATAATGGACGGCTTCATCATTCCCTACGGTAAGGAATTCCCTATAGATAATGTTTCAAGAAGTTCAGTTATTTTGTTGTT